TGGAGTCCAGTGAGTGGCACAATCATAGCTCACTGCAACCTTGAGCTCCTGGGCTCAAGTGATCTTTCTGCCTCAGCCTCCCAAATAGCTGGGACTACAGGTGCATGCCATGATACCCAGGTAATTTTTAATTTTTTTTTTGTAGAGACAGAGTCTTTCTATGTTTCCCAGGCTGGTCTTGAACTTCTTGCTTCAGGTGATTCTCCCACCTGTGCCTCCCAAAGTGCCAGGATTACAGGCACGAGCCAGTGTGTTGGGCCTCATGTTGCAACTAGATATTGATCTGTTTTTCTACCTGCCTCCCCAGGGACCCTGCTAGTTCTGTTGACCTTAGTCTCCCAGGGTCTGAGCTCAAGAGTTGGCACACAGTAGGTACTCAGTAAACACTAAGTGATGAGTCACACGTTGCTGCACTTGACAGCCCTTCCCTGTGACCATAGTACAGTGCCTCACACTCTGGCTGGCAAAGCTGTCCAGACGGTTGTTGGACTGGGGGCTGTGGGCGAGGGCCAGTGCATAGGAGAGTGTGGCTGTGGAGGAGAGTGATCACAGGAAAAGGTCTAGAGGTTAGAAGAGAAAGGTCTAGAGGGATATAAGTGTAGGGGAGCTTCCTGGGTTCAGCGGGGCAAGAGCACCTTGAAGATCCCCTTCTTCTCTTGGAGGTCCTACCAGTACACTCTTGCTGCAAAACTCCTTTCCCCCACCCAGGGAGATCAAGACAAGAGCTGTGAGGGATATATCTGACTTGGAGCCTTGGTAGCCACCTTGTAGATGCAGAGACATACCCATGATGCCCTGTGCATCTTGGAGATGCCTTCCCAGCTTTTCCTGCCTGACCTTGAGAAGCTCCCAAATGCCCAGCTCTGGGCTAAGTGATGCTGGAGGTGGTATGAAGAGAGAGAGCGAAGGAGCAATTTGGGGTCTGTCCTACTGACAAATGCTATCAGCCCCAGAGGCTGAGCTCTCTACACTGTCTCAGAGCATCCTGGAAATAGCCCCATTGTATTTATTTATTTATTTGAGATAGAGCCTCAAGCTATCATTGTGGGTAGAGTGCCGTGGCATCACAGCTCACAGCAACCTCCAACTCCTGGGCTCAAGTGAT